TGAGTAGGAATTACTTATGCTTGATTGATAGATTGAAAGAGAGAGAGGCTGTTGAGCTAATTTGTCTGCTCGGTGATGGTTCTAATTTCATTCACACTCGTCCAGCATGTTAGATTAAGCTCATCAACCAAACCAGACATGTCGGATTACGCAACCGCAGTCTTGCCCTTCTTTGAAGGGTTAAACGTTAATGACCCTAGACTGAAAAGTTAGGACAAGTGGTTTCTTAACTTGACTCGCACACTTACAAGCTTACATCTTATTATCTCAACCATACTTGCCTACAGACTTACACAGTCTCGGTCAGGTCCTACGAATATCTTTTTCATGCACTTTCATACGAAATGAAAGTTCCCCCAACTTAGTACGTTTTCATTTTTCGAATTAAGTATTGTTCTCGTGACAATCAGTAAATCAGTAATATGAGATGTATTCACCCAATTTCGTTTAATGTGATGAAGGATTGGTAGAAGAAGAATTTTCCCACAAAGAAGTTTCCATTGAATTTAGCATACTTAATTCGAGAAATAAAGTATGATAGTCGATTGTCATAGCAAATATACGTTTTCTCATCGACAATTGTGCGTGTGTTTGTTATCATCTTTACTCATGTTGATCAGAACATGAAACACTGAGATGTATTCACCCAATTTCGTTGAAGGTGATGAAGGACTGGTAGAAGAAGAATTTTCCCACAATCATATGAGTTGAGCTGACGTTTCCATTCAATTTCACATAGCCTTGCTTTCCCAAAAGTTGTTCTCAACCCGGCTGGGGTGGATTTCAGTTTCGACCTCGCATCAACACCCTCAGTGGGAGTCGAGCCGCGACAGTACAGGATGGGAGCTTGACACGCTAACCACTCGGCGGTTCGACCCCCGCTGAGGGTGTTGCTAAGACCGATGCGAGGTGGAAACTGCAGTCCACTGGTGCCTGGATGAGTACAACTTTTGGGAAAGCCAGTTTATGTGAAATTCAATGGAAACGTCAGCTTAACTCATGTGATTGTGGGAAAATTGTTCTTCCACCAGTCGTTCATCACATTAAACGAAATTGGGTGAATACATTTCATAGTACGTTTTCGCCGGACTCGAAGAAGACTGCCCCGTGGAAAGCGTCATCCGGAACGTTGCGATAAAGTCAACCGACGTGTCGCCAAGAGTAATCCACCGTCGCCTTCTGGTAGGATGCATTTTTGAGGCTCTTCATGACACACACCCTCACTCGAAATGGAAATGAGCTCGATTCACATGAACTTGTACCTTCAACTAAAACTAATAGCCTTTTAAACATACGCATCAATGCAAGCAGAAAAAAGAAAGCTTCACAACTTACATTGAAGAAATAAGGCACTTGTGACGATGTAGAATGCATGGAATAGGCTCATCTGTTTGGTTTCTTTCTTTCGAGCCCGTTTATAGAAATGAAGATCAAACGGGTGAGACCACTCGAAGGTGAACAGCAGACCAGTTGTCTACAGGTTGATTCATGATGAAGTTGCCGCAAGAGGGATGGGGGTCAGGGTTGAATGTACAGATAGGCAATTGTGATTGAATAGCAATCATATCCACTTGGCAGATCTGCTAGACGCGTGGGCTAAATTGGGACTAAAGATATGAAAACCAAGATGTTGTGGCCTCTGTTATGGTCGCAGTCTCCTTTCGATTTATAGAACTGGGTTGACCTCGTTGTCGCAACTTGGTCTTGTTGTCATGGTGACTATTTGGAACGCACCTAGTCCGAAGTTTTGCCATTCGCCGCGCTAAGACACGAACTCGTCAAAGAGACAAGTTTTCGGCAGAACGTTTGTTGAGGGATTGGCTTCATTTGTCTCTTCAACGAGTTCGTGTCTTGGCGCGGCGAATGGCAAAACTGACTGATAATGCCGACTACAATGCCGGCGAAACGTTTAAGAATGTACCAAGTACACTCTCGGATGTTGGGAATCATGACAACTATTATGGCAGACGACTTCGGACTAGGTGCGTTCCACATGGACACCATGACAACAAGACCAAGTTGCGACAACGAGGTCAAACCACTTCTATAAATTGGGACTTTTGCGCGAGGTCATCTCAGTTCAGACTTTATTTGGGTGCTGAACCAAGTGACCAATTGACATGATGAAGTTTATTTTACACCCCATAATCAGCATGCAATACTAGCCATTTCAGGTTGCACGGCCTGCAAAACATGCTTTTCAAATCATATTTTTACCGCGAAGTAAATGTCAAGTGTCCCCCCATTTTGGTTAAATAATCAAACATAGTACTGACTTGGAGTAAGTAGTATATTGCCTAGCAATAGGGGCACAATTAGAAACTGGTAAGGACCGAAAAGAGAATACTGTTGAAGTGGGTTGACCTCGTTGTCGCAACTTAGTCTTGTTGTCAGGGCGACTTTGTAGAAAGCACCTAGTCCAAAGTCGTCTGCCG